CGCACGTGGAGCTCGGGCCCCGGACCGTCTTCCCTGTAAGAACGCGCACGTGGAGCTCGGGCCCCGGACCGTCTTCCCTGTAAGAACGCGCACGTGGAGCTCGGGCCCCGGACCGTCTTCACTGTAAGTACGCGCCCGTGGAGCTCGGGCCCCGACCGTCTTCACTGTGAGTACGCGCACGTGGAGCTCGGGCCCCGGACCGTCTTCCCTGTGAGTATGCGCACGTGGAGCTCGGGCCCCGGACCGTCTTCCCTGTAAGTACGCGCACGCGTGGAGCTCGGGCCCCGGACCGTCTTCCCTGTAAGTACGCGCACGTGGAGCTCGGGCCCCGGACCGTCCTGAGGAGCCACCAGCTGTCGCTACCCTGAGGCCTCTGATAGCTGCTCACACATGCTGTCCCCCCCCCCTCATGCAGAATTAACGGCTCCTCACCCCCGACCCGGTCTGTCCGCAGCCTAGACCCAGACTGCCTCATAATAATGCTCGTGGGAATTTTACTTGCAAAAAAGAAAGAAAAATGATTGGTTCTGAGAGATGGCCAATCAGATTGTAGATGAGTTGGGACCAAGACATCTGATTGGTTGGTCCTGCCTCCTCTATAATCTGATTGGTTGTATCTCTGCCCTCAGAACAGCTCCAGGGACTCTCACTTTGGAGAAATGCATCTGCCAAATAAAAGTGTATTCGAGCATTGCCTCTGCAACTCCAAAGTCCAGAGAGAAAAACTCAGATTTTTATGTCTTAGGGTGGTCTATCTTGGGGGCTGGGGGGGGAAATGTTAAGCTCTCGACCCTTATTTGTTTCTCGGCTGGCAGCAATCAATATATGCGAAATATCATCCGGATGAATGTTCTCACGTCAGCAGGTACCTCCGGGTCTGATTGGTGACCCCAGCGGATGTTTCTTTCACTGACAGAGTGTCTTTTTCTGCCATCTGATGGCCTCTTTGCGTAAACTTAATGAAGTATACTTGCTAAGAAGCAAGAAAAAGTCTTTATCAAGTTGCAAGCTTCCCTCCAATGGCGACATACTGCCAGTATTTCTGCACTGAACGTGAGGAAGCAGCTGCAGAGAGTTGGGGCATTTAGGCATTTTGTGCTTGGAGCAGTGACCTTAGGACCTGCTGGGGGACACTAGAGAGAAGCTGTCAGGCTGAAGGTGGAGGTCTTGAGCGTAGGGTTGTGCAGAGACTCTGAGGGGCAGGTGCTCAAAGGTTAAAAAGCGGACACCTTTAAAGCTCACACACTTTAAATAGTTTGGGGAAAACGAGCAGGTGCCCCGACTATCTGCCCCCCCCCCTCACTCTTCCCCCCCCCCCCCCCCGCTTCTCCCCTCACTCCCCCGTACATTTGCTTAAGGGCAATGCTTGCATGGGGGTTTCCTTGGACAGTGGGAAAGCAAAAGTTGGCAGAAGTTTGCAGAGGCCACAGGGAGATATTATTGGGTGTCCCCAAAGATATTTTGCAGATTCTTCAAAGCCACAACAGGGCTGGTTGGACTTGCTGAGGCACCCGTTTCGTAGTGGAAGGAACACTTTGAGGGACTCTTCAGCTTAGAAGGTATGCCACCTCCCCAATGGTGATCAGAAACCAGAGAGGCTGGAAGGTTAGCTGCAATCCATCCAGAGATGCTTTTGGGGTGACATGACTGATGACCCACCCGGAAGGCAAGTGCAGTACCTCTGGGCTACCAAGCAGGGGTGTTGGTCCCTATTTTTGTCTCACCAGCATGTTTTTCACAGTGTGTGCAGATGATTATGTAAATCAGGTTTTTTATATCCAGGATCTGTCAGAAGGGAACACCCTGAACTGGGCGGGAGCCTGATTTTCCGGAAGTCTCTGTCCGTGCTGGAGTCACTGCGGGCTGCAGGGACCGTGATTAGTAGGTATTTAATTAGACCTTTAAATGAGTCTTTTGGATAGCAACTGGATTTGTGTAACAATCCATCCGTGTTGGTGGGCTGGAGAAAGTTTTCTAGTTGTCTTTAACCATCTTGGGGTGGCGTCCAGAAAGTCCACTGTGTGGTTTTTGCATTGCATTTGACTGTAATGTGTTTGTATGTGTATGTTTACATCCCCCTGGTGCCAAGCCCCAAAGATGTCATTTAAATATCTATATTAGTGTTTCCCAATCTGGTCCACTTGCTATTTCTAGGATGCTGGTTCCCGTTGGACCGTCTGTGAGTCATTGAGGACTCGGGCTGGGAAACACTGATCTGTAGTATGTGAGCGGAACTTGAGTGCATTTCTTGAACAAACTTCTTTCCCACTCAAATTTCCTGCCTGCTGCCTTTACCCTGCATCACTAAATAAAACTGTAGCTCAGATGGGAAATTGATTTGTTTTGAAAATGACTGTAATACTTTTTTTTAAAGAGTGGTTTGGGTCCAGGTCAAGAATTTTTTTTTGCTGTTAAGTCTAGTTCGGCTCCCCCAGAGAGTTCAGCTCTCAGCATCTCATAGGAATAAAAAAAGAGTCTTGTGGCGGCTGTAGTGGTATAATTTTATTGATGGATTTTAAGCATCATTCAGGCAGCTGAGGTGGGTTTGAGAAATGCTCAATATATTGTGCAGGATTGTATGTTTTGCTGTCACATCTGAGACAATAGGTCGCCCACAGGAGACATCATGGGGGATAATTCATTCCCTTTGATATGCATGCATTTTAGTGAGAAAATCGAAGGACCAGGTGAATTGGGGCCCATTACACGTAATTTTTCCTTCTGATTGACAGATTCTTTGCTGTGTAGATGCTGTAATATTTCCTCGCACTGTGCATGATATAATGCAGTGTAGGAGCTGTGTGTTATGCTGCGACACCTACAACTACATTCCAGCGAGTCTGCATGTCTCCCCCCTTAAGACCTTGGCCCATAGTGGCATGTTTAGCCCAAACTAAGGGGACTCCATGCTTCCAGGCCCTGGTTACATTTGGGGTCCTAGATATAAACCTTAGCTGGTTTTCCTTCCCTAAACTAGCATTAGTTTTCTGTGGGTCTAGCGATTTTTTTTTAGCGGTGACGGCATGCTAGCGATTTTAGCCTAGCTGTTCGTTATTCTGGGAGGTGCTGCAGCACTTTGGTTGCAGTTCTCCAGCCATGCTAACTCCCCGAGCCAGAGATATGTGACGGCACTGGCTTCTCTACCCAAACACTCATGTATGGAGCCTTGAACAGCATACTGGTGCTGCCATGGGGATTTTCCCAGTAAGAGAAAACACATCAGACCCTCTGTTACGTGGGAAAAATGCTTGCGCAGCTTCGCTGACACCCCTAGGTTCACACCGTGAGCCCCCCTCCCTCCCTGACAGTACTGTAAATTTATTAATACAGTGTAGTCATTTAACAGCGCCTCTGTGGGTGGCATTATTGCCTAATACTTCCAGGTGTTAATTTCCCGCTCCTGTCATTTCTGTGTGCAGGTTCCAGGTTTACCCCTGCAGTCCAAGGCTTGCAGTTACTCTTCTTACCTTTGCTCTCTT